TATAGAGCATTCCCTCCCCATTTCACCCCTAGGAAGGCTCAATTGCCATAGCAATCCCAATCTCTTTTGTGCAGCATTTGAGGGTCTTTCAAAGCATGCTTGTGATTGATCCTCCCTGCAAGAGTTCAAGTTCCCCAGTCTATTGGTCCAATTTTGCCGACTGATTTTGATATAATGGACTTAGCCCATTATAGCCTACCAATAAGGGGACTTAAAGACCCTCTCACTCCTCTGTTGTGGGATGTATGGTAGCATCTCTCAGGGAGCAAAGCAAGGAACTGAACCTAGCCAACTGAGGGACCGGTTAGGGTGCAAATGGAAATGAGAGTGCAAAGCCGACAAGTGGAGAAATGGGTTGAGATTAATGGGGGAATCTGGGGCAATGTTTTAAAGGAGCAAAGGGGCACACGGTCTGGAGAAACATGGGGTCCTTCACTGGATAGAATCCCTTTTGCTGGCATTAAAGTGCAGCTGGCGATGGCTGGTTTGCACCTAGAGAAAGTGAGGAGTTCCTTCGAGATGCTCAGGTGAATAATGTTTTGCATGAAAAGGCCATGGGCGAGGTGTTGTTGAGTGTGGGTTCAGGCTTATAGCTAAACCACATTTTCTCTCTGGGAAGCAAGGCTCCTCTGCTTTCAGTGCTGTGGAACTGAACAGCTGGATCCATGAACCTGCTTGAGGCCATTCCAAAACTTCTCAGGGGGAATGTGCTTGTGTTTAGCATTATTGGTGGCTGCTGTATCCGTAGGCTGGTGGGAAATCTTGTTACCCCCAAAGGTGAAGGTGGGTGGACTAGGAGTACTAACTGGATCTCTTTGGAGTGGGTAAAGTTCAGCACCTATTTTTCTCTCCAGCTTTACGATGCATGCCAAGAAGTCTTGAGTTCCAATTTCACATCAGCAACAAACTCATTATGCAGCATTATACTTAAGAAACCAGTGCCTCAGTGACATTAATCTCTTGCTGCCTTCACAAGATGGAGAAAACAAGACTGGCCTACCTTACTGGAGTGGTGGTTAAAGAATGATTGCTAAAGTAATGCAGGAGGGGATATGTGACAAACTAGGGCGAATTTACACCTTTAAAACACTCCTCATTCTGGCCAAAGGGAATGCAATCTGGCCATAGGCAATTTGCAGGAGTTCAAACTTTTTGTAGAGGGAGATGAAAAACTCCTTAAACTCCATGGTAAAAAATTTGTGGTTTTTACCAGAGAATCCACGGAAATCTGCAGAAACATGCATTATTGCATGTGCGGCCATCTGTTTGCTTTGCATGGATTTGGATGGCTGTACATTTTTGGGAGGGGGGGGTGAATAGATGCAAACAGATGTGAATTTGCATAGGAAAATGAAGACAATTAACCATTGTTGATGTGAATGTGTGAAAATCTGCAGCAATGCACATAATATACACTTACTTGTAGACTAGCTCCTGGAAAACTTCATCCACATGTTTGGGGCACCATGGATGCTTCTGAATGACATGTAGTCATTCCCCCACAAAAATGAGGGCATTTTCCCAGATAAATTTTCTGCACTGCCATGAAATTGTTCTTCAATGGGAAGGCACTAGAGTTCTCTAAATACCCTCCCTAAACTTCACATCCCAGGAGTCATATAACTGTGTAACATGAAAGACCAGTAGTCTATTATCCTGAATTATAATTTCCAAGGTCTCTTGAATACTCATTCAAGAGACCTTGGAAATTATAATTCAGGAGAATAGGCTACTGGTTTTAGAATAGACTACTGGACACACATTTGCATCAACAATGGACACCCTCAGTCCCTCATCTCAGAGTGTTTTTGGGAACCTTCATCCAGGGGGTGGACTAGACCTCTCTAGCAGAGGATTCTAAGTCTTTCTCCAAACTCCAAGTCCCAAGATGTCTGTAGGGTGCAGCCAAGGCACTTAAAGTAGCATTGGAGTACCGTAAGTGGGCAGTGCAATTCCCAATTTGTAGGATGCTTGCTTTTGGCATCTCCCCGGTGCTTTCTCCCCGCCTGGTTTGTCCAAAGGCCAACTTCGATATCTGCATTGATTTGTTTAAGTGGTTGCCTAGCCCTTTTGCAACCAGCTGCCATTAATCACAGCAAATAGAGAAATCTTTAAATACATCCTTTCTGCCCAGGGACTGCGAGGTACCTATTGTTCTTTAGCTGCACTCAGTTCAAACTGAGCAACCAGGCAACTGAGAGAGAAAAAGAGAGAACACAATGTGGTAGAATGGGTGAAAACAGTGTTTTTTTGGGTTTTTTACCTAAATACAGATTGAATCTCCCTTATAGGAAATGTTGGGACCAGAAATGTTTGGGATATTGGATTTGTTCCTCCAGGTTTTGGGGATATTTGCATTATGCATTTGCATAATGAAATATCTCAGGAATGGGACCCAAATCTAAACTCAAAATTTTATTTATGTTTCATATACTCCTTATAGTCTTATACCCATAGCCTGAAGGTCATTTTATGTACAATATTTTAAATAATGTTTTGCATGAAACAAAGTGTGTGTACATTGAACCATCAGAAAGCAAAAATGTCATTATCTCAGCCACCCATGTGGAGAATTGTGGATTTTGGAGTATTTTGGATTTCAGATAAGGGAACTCAAACTGTATAGGGAAAGTAATTAATTAAATAAATAAATAAATAAATAAATTGATGATGATGATTTTTGATATTCTGTAATCAGCCTCAGAGGCAAAGACAAACCCTTTTGAACAGATCTGGCCAAGAAAACTGCCAAACTACAAATCCCAGCATTCCTTAGCATTGAGCCATGACAGTTAAAGTAGTGCCAAGCTGCATTAATTCTGTAGTGCAGATGCAGCCTCAGACAGCCATTGAGATGTTGCAATGCCAAGCTTTGCCCAGGCTGGCTAGGACTGCTGGAACATGCAATCCAGAGGTGCTGTATTAACTCTCTATGTATAACCAATCCTCCATTTATCTGGTTACTACATGTTACCTCCATTGGACATTTTGTGGGCATCTGATCTACATCCTGCGCAGTCAGCCTTTCGTGATACTGAAATGCGTCCTCCTGCCAGGATATCTCTGACCATCTCTTTTTACTTCTCTCATTTCCTTGCAGGACCCTGATCAATGCACACTTCAGTGAAATCAAAGAAGCTTCCTTCGCTCACCTCCCATCCTTGCAGTTCCTGTACGTCTGCCTGCCTCTTTGCCTAGCTCTGGTGATGTCTGGGAGAGAAGCAGACCTTGCTTTTGCCATTTTATAGAAGGGACCCCATTTTATTACCCCGCCGAATATAATGGGACTTGAGCATCCAAGGATTTTGGTATCCACGGGGGATCCTGGAAACAAAGTCTATCAGATACCAAGGGTCCCACTGTAGTCAGTCAGTAAATGCACCCTCTTTTTTGCTTTTTAAAACATGGTAACCCTAGCAAAGAATGGGCAAAGTGTAGCCTGTCCATTCCATCAGGCCTTTGGGACCCTCAAGTGCAGCCCCTCAAGCCCATCCAAACCCCCACAGACTAAAAAAATAATTTAAAAATAATCCAGTTTTCAGATATATTTTTTATGCCCAAACCATAGTTTGCTTCCCCTGACCCAGGATGATGAAACATCCTTCTTTTCCAGGACATGTCCTCCATTTCAACTTTCTGTCCAGGAGGGATTCCAAAAGGTTTTCCATTTGCAGACTGACTAAGAAGCATGAATTTATATTTCTACGAGTGTTTTCAGCTTTTCTTTTGCAATACCCATTTTATGGTTCCTTGTCCTCCTTTGCGGTCACCCGGCCCTGACCCTCCAAAGCTCCCAGAACCTCCTCACAAAACACAAAGGAAATCTTTTAAAATCTGCTGAAAATTGACCCCAAGGGGGCAACCAGAAGGGGTGTTGCATCGCTTTGGCTGTGCCAAAATGCGCTGGTGAAGCCCATTGGGTAGGCAAAGGTTGGAAAAATGGCCCCCGCTGCCTGTCCAGTTGCCCAGCCCTGTCCTAGCTGAAGAGCCCCTGTTAGCATCCCATCTCAGCTTCTCCAATCATTTCCCTTTTTTCTTTGCAGGTTGCTGAACTCCAACAAGTTCACCGCGATCCGGGACAATGCCTTCATTGGACTCTCTCACCTGCAGTACCTGTATGGATGCATGCATGGGCCACTTTTCTAGGGGTCCCATTTTGAGGGCAGAGGCGGGTGGAGGAATAGCTCTTGGGCAAGACAGAGGTGGAAAGGGGTAGGCATGAGAATATATAGCCCTTGTGTGTCTATTCCATGCTGTTTTGGGGGTGTTTCCCCTCCCCGAAACATTGAATCCAAAGGATTTATCGATGTGTTGACTTACCTGGCAACAACGAATTGAGTTGTTGGGACTGATGTACTGTATATTTATTTATGTATTTATTTATGATTTTCATGGAGCTCAAAAAACATTTTTGAGCACCATCCTGGCCTGAT